CCCCCATACCCCTCCCCCCCGCCCCTCCAGAGCGCCAAGTCGCTCAGCGACCAGCTGGCCGCAGCCAACGACACTCTGGACGTCAAGGGTGACGACCTGCTGGCACTGCGGCGCACCAGCGCCAATGCCACACTGAGTCTGCAGCGCGAGGTGGCAGAGCTGCAGGCCGCCCTGCAGGACGCAAAGGCGGGGGAGCAGGCGGCCAAGCGGCGCTGTACGGCGGCCGAGGAGCGGCGGGACGCACTGGTGGCGCGGCAGGCCGAGGTGGAGGCCAATGCCTCAGAGACGGAGCGCAGCCTGGGGGACCAGCTACGCGCTGCTTTGGTGCGCGCGGACCGCTACCAGGAGGTGGCCACCAACGAGCAGCGCAAGCGCGAAGAGGTGCGTCGTGCAGCCAGGTGGCAATGCTCTGTTTGGGTGCAGAGCAGGGGCTTCGAGCAACACGTTTTTTTCTTCCAAGTGACGACTTGTGCCTCAATGTTGGGCTGTGGCAAATTATATACGTCTGGCCTTAAATCTGCTGGTTCCCCACACTGCTTGGTCACCTCCTCACCAGGCCGTGCGCGTCATGGCTGAGATGAAGGAGCAGGCAGCAGCGGCTGCCCGCGCCCATGCAGAGGCGCTTGAAGCCGCTGAGGCGCAGGCTGCGGACGCGCGCCAGCTGGCGGCGCTGTACGAGCAGCAGGTGGCTGACGTCAAGGCGCAGCTGCAGGCATCCCAGAGCGGCGGCACGCAAGGCGCGCCAAGCACGCTGCCGGCGGCACGGCCTGCTCAGATGGCCGGGGCGGGGGATGTCGCCGACCCCTACCAGGCTGCGTCCGCAGCAGAGCTGCTTGGCCAGGATCCCGGGCGCGTGGCGGTTGGACTCCAGCAGCAGGGCAAGAGCTACTCTGACCTGGTGGCTGACTACATCGACATGGTGGGAGGCGTGGTCAGCAGAGTGGGGGGTTGCCGCTTGGAAGCTGCTGCAGCAAAGGCCACTCTATCGGGGGTTGGCAAGGTTCAAGCTTTTTTGCTGCCCCTGGAGTCGTGGTCGCATTGACTGTTCCGCGCCTGTTCCCAGCTTATGCGTCCTCATGTCCCACAAATATGCAAACGGCGTCTCCCAGACGCACGCGTTCCGCATGGAACGCCTGAGGGCTCAGGAGCTGGAGGCCAGCCTGGACCGCCTCTGCACCGCGGCCAATCGCAAGGCTGCAGACAGCGACCGTCAGCGCCGCGAATATGAGGGCGTGCGCGCCGCCCTCGCAGCGCTGCAGTCGGTTCATGCCGAGGCGGTGGCACGTGCGGGGCAGTTGTCCGCGCGTGCTGCGGAGCTGGAGCGTGAGCTGGCTGCCGAGCGGCACCTGGAGGCTGGCATACGTCAGGGGTAGGTGCATGGGTGGTTGGGGACTTCAATATTCACAGTGTCGTGTGCAAGAACACAATGATTGGTAGGGACAAACGCAGCTGGCGAGTCAGATCTGGGTCAGCAAATAATCATCCCCACACCCAAAGACCGTTTCGCATGCCCTTTAAACCAGCCTGGTATTGCCTTGAACTCACCTGCTGCTTCCCTTGCCCGTACCCCCACAAACTCAGCCTGGCCGACAAGGAGCGCCAGGTAGCGGTGCTCACGGCCGAGGTGGAACGCCTGCAGGGCAGGCCCGTGCCACCGGGCGGCGACGGCGACGGCAACACCGCTCTCCTGGGGAGCGGGGCTCTGGATGCAGCCGGCGTGATCAACCTGCGCCTGGTGACATTCCGCTCACTGGCCGAGCTGGTGGAGCGCAACAGCCAGCTGCTGGCGGTGGCGCGCAGCCTGGCCGAGGACCTCGACGCCAGCAGGCAGGGGCTGGAGGCCAAGTACGCAGCGGCGCGCGCGGCAGAGTCGGCCGACGTAGAGCAACGTATTGCGGAGCTCACGGAGATGTGCAACGCCCTGGCAACGGAGGCCCAGGCCTGCAAGCGCGCTGCTGATGAGGCCCTGCGCGACAGGCAGGTGCGCGACCAGGCCGGCTGCGGCGGCGGCGGCGGCGGCAGGGCAGAAGGCACGCAGGCGGCGGCTGCTGCGGAGCTGGAGGCGGCATGCGCCAGGGTGAAGGAGCTGGAGGCGGCACTGAGCCAGCTGCGGACGGATGCGGCGGAAAGCGCTGCATTCATGCAGCAGCAGCTGGATGCGGCGCGCTCCGCCGAGGGCGCCTCGCGCAGCGACGCCGCAACGGCACGCGCGCAGCAGCAGGTGTTGTCTAATGCGGCGGCGGCGCTGCAGCAGCAAGTGGCTGATGCCAACGCACGTGTTGAGCGTCTCACGGGCCAGTTGAGCTCTCACCGCGACCTGGTGGAAAGGCTGGAGGTGCAGCTTGAGCAGGTGGGTGGTTGAGGGGTGGCTGAGACTCGTGGCAGCGAGAGTAGTGAGGGGCGGACGAGAGCAGACTGCCGCTTGTCTGCCAAACAGACCTGTGCGTGCTTTGTTGATCCCAAAGCATTGGGTCATCCCCTGCACCCTTTTCTCTGACCCCCTGCACCCTTCAGGCGCGTGCAACAGCGGACGGGTCAGGCGAGGAAGCGCGCCAGATGGCCCGCCGCGCTGCCCAGATGGAGGTGCAGCTGGGGCACCTGCAGGCGCAGGAGGCGCGCGCTGCCGAGGCGGAGCGAGCCGCTGTCGCAGAGCGCGAGCGTATGCACGCTGAGCTCCTGGCTGCAAAGAGTGTTGAGGCGATGCGCCAGGAGGCCCACGCACGCGAGGTGGCGGACATGCAGGTTCGCTCGCTGGGCTGGGGAGTGGGGGCTGGGGTCGGGGCTGCAGGTGGCGAGCCAGCGGTGGAACTAAGCAAAGCGAAGATGGGCCGTTGAGGAGCAGCAGGTCTGACGGGTGCTGACCTGCCTGGAGCCTGCTTCCGCCTTGATTGCATCTGTTGCATCTGTTTTAGTCAGCCGCTCGTTCGCACATGTCACGACTCGGCGCCCGCACCTTGGTTTGCACACCCTGTGCACTGGCTTGCGCTACAGGCGCGCATCAGTGCCCTGCAGGCAGAAGTTTCGCGGGCGCAGGAGGAGGTGGCACGTGAGAAAGAGCAGCGCACCGACAAGCTGGAGGAGGCTCTTAGGGAGGGCAGGGCCGCTCGCGCTGATGCAGACGTGCTGCGAGGCCAGTTGCAGGAGGCTCGCAGCACTGGCGCCGCGTCAGCGGGCAAGGCTGAGGCGCTGGGCCAGCAGCTGGCAGCTGCAGCGGCACGGCTGCGCGTGCTGGAGCAGCAGGCTGAGCAGCGCGAAGCTCAGGTGGCTGGTGCTGTGCAGTTGGGTTGTCTCCTGACGGCAAGCCTTTCAAGCAATTGTGTTCCGCCAACCCCTTGTGCGGAAGGCTGCGACGCACTCTGATTAGAAACTTGCCTCTGCTCCCCCTTGTGCTCTGCATTGCCTTACCCCTGCTTGCGCTTCATCTGCAACCTCAGGCTGCCAGCGCTGCAGCCGGCGGCGCCGAGGACGGCCCTGAGCGCAGGGTGCTGGAGCTGGAGCGCCGCTTGAAGGAGGCAGAGTCCCAGGTGGCCTCTGTGACGGGGGAGCTTGAGGCCACCAGGAAGCGCAATGAGGACGTGGCCACATTGCTGGCGGCGGCACAGGCGGCGCAGAGGGACCTGGCGGCAGCCAATGAGTCGCTGCGCACGGAGAGGGACGCGGCAGTGGCAGCCGACCGCAATGCAGCGGCAGAGGCAGTCGCTCGCGTGCAGCGGCTTGAGGAGGAGAGGCAGGAGCTTGTCACGGCCCGGGACACAGTTCAGCAGGTGAGGTGTGGGAGTGGTGGCACACCTGGATAGGGCATTCGTCCGGGAATGCATGCGGGTCAGTGGTTTGGCATTTTAGGAATGTTGTGCATACAGCACATGCTGATGAGCCACTTGCTTAAGCCGCTTGCGGACTGCATCAAGGGTTGTGTTGAGCGGGCTGGTGTTAACGGTGAAGGCAAAGCCTGCAGCTTGCGCCCCCTGCCCCCCACCGTCCTTGCAAACATGTTTGTGTCGACACCAACCTGCATTCACGCACCTTGCCTCCCCATGTTACCGCGTTGTTGCAGGAGCTGGCTACCATCCAGGCAACGCTTCACGCAGAGCGCTCCCGGGCCGCCAACTCTACAGGCCAGGTGCAGCGCCTGGAGGAGCAGCACCGCCAAGAGCTGCAGCGCCTGGAGGAGCAGCTGGCGGCTGCACACAGCAGCCTGGAGCGCGCTGAGTCGGTGTCAAAGGTGGGGCTGTTTAGGAATTCATCTCACATCAGCTGCGCACTCTGTTTGTGATGGCGGACACGGCTGCCAGCCGCTGGTGTCTGCATATTGAGCTCCTGCACCATCGCAGACCCTCCACGCCGCCACCCGCATCACGCCTTCAGGCTCAAACATACGATCTGGCGGCAGCGTACAGGCGCGCAGAGGCTTGGGAGAAGCAGGCGCTTGACGCACGCGCCAAGCTTGAGCAGGCGCATCAAGCAACGAGAGTTGCGCAGGAAGAGGCTGGAAAGCAAACAGCTGCGGCAGCTGAGCAGGTGCGGGTCAGCGAGGAGGCGCGCGGCGAGGCAGAGCGGCGGCTAGCAGAGGCACACCACGCCAACGACGCACTGCAGCGGCAACTGGATGCGCTGCTGGCCGGCAGCGGCAGTGAGGGGACGGCACAGCTGCCCCTGGCGCCAACGGGTGAGGAGTGGGGAGTGCAAGGCGCTACTACCTGGAGGCGCTTGCTGTGCAGCCTTACATTCCCGTTGAGCAGCATTTGGTTCCCCACCAAGTGATCCTTGGCCTCACCCAGGATATCTGACTCATTGCGTCATGTCTTGCGGCCGCCCCTCAGCCCCATAGCCCCCACCCCTACCGCGTTACACTTGCACCAGGTGAGGGCCTGCTGGAAGCGCTGGCTGCCGCGCGCCAGGAGCGCGAGTACCTGGAGGGCCGCGTGGCCATGCTCAGCCTGGACGCAAAGCGCAGCCTGCGCGACAGGGACCTGGCCAGGCAGGAGGTCAAGGCCCTACAGCTGGAGGTGTGACAATGGGGCAGGGGCCCGGCTGGCAGAGCACATGGCGGGGCGCCTAGTGCTGGCAAGCACAAGCATTGCTGCATGCACGTACATGCACGCCCGGGCTGACAAGTGTTTGCACGCATGATACTTGCCTGCTTGTGCGCACAACCTCACACACACACACACACACACACACACACACACACACACACACACACACGCGCGCGCGCGCGTGCGCGCACACACACATACACATTGACGCGTGCGCACGCTCGCATCCTTAGGTGCAGCAGCTGCGCCAGGAGGTTTCTTCCGGCCTCATGACCTCAGCTCAGATGCAGGAGGCAGCGGGGGCCCAGGAAGACCTCACCACCCTGCGCGAGTCAAACGCTCACCTGCGCGCTCACAACAAGGAGCTGCTCGCCGAAGCGCAGCAAGCGCGGCAGGAGGCGGCTGCGGCGCGCCAGCAGCTGCAGCCCCTTCAGGACCGCATCACGTGAGCGGGTCTGAGGCTTGCATGGCGTGGAGGTTGTACGCACGCAGCCAGGGAAGGAGTGGAAGCTGCCCAGAGATTTGTGATTGAAACCCGACGACGCGGCTTGCAAGAAGAGGTGTCACTTCCAGAGATGGGGCGCCCTGCAATTGTTTCTGCAACCTGTGAGCGTGCATGCTGGGCAGTTGCTGAACACTACAGCTTTGAAACCCCTTTGCCTGCTCCTCCCCGTCACAGGTCGCTGGAGGTGTCCCTACAGGTTGAGAAGGAGGCTGTGCAGAGCGCCAATGACACCGCGCAGCGAGCTGAGGCGAGCCTTCAGCGCATGGTCCAGCGCTATGGCTCTGTCGACATGGAGGAATACAACAGGGTCAAGGAGGAGAGCCGGCAGGCCAAGGTCAGTAGGGGTTGCGGCAGAGGGCTGGAGCTTCTGTGCTAGGCTTGGCCGCAAGGCACATGGGCATCAGCAGGCAGGCTGAGTAATCATCAACTGGTTGATGCATGGCTTGCTCCAAGTCTACAAAGGAACTCGTTTTTGACTGCAGTGGGGACAGCCGTGTTGTTCTGGATGATTTTCAACTCAAATAATCCTTAGGCCTTCATTTTGGCTTCATGCAGACGCATTCATCTGAATCCGTGCGTGCACACACACACACACACACACACACACACACTGCATGCCCTGCCCTGGTTCAGGAGGATCTGGTTGCTGCCAACAAGGCCCACGGCGCCGCCACTGAGGCACTTCACTCCGCCCAGGCAGACGCTCAGCGGCATGCTGAGGCAGCGGCTGTGGCCACCACCAAGGCTCAGTTGCTGGCAAAGCAAGCAAAAAATGCAGAGAATGACGCACAGCAGGCGCGCTCTGCGCTGGCAGGTGCGGAAGAGGCGCGGGCCAAGGTGGAGGCCGCCAGGGCGGATCTAATCAGCAGGTCCAACAACATCATAAAAAAGATGCAGGTGCGCGCATCAGGTTGTCCAGTCGCGATCAGTGGGTGCAAGCCGTGGATGCTGCAATGGTTTCTTTGGTGCCAATGGCAATGCTGACGCTTCCAGCACTACTTGCTGTTTGCTCTATGGTCGAGCGCGCGGCATGGGGATGCTGCCCTGTTGCACTTAACCCCTCCAGGAAAACCTGGACAAGTTCAAGGCCGACGCTGCGGCGCAGCGCAAGCGGGCCGATGATCTTGCAGTCAAGGAGACACAGCTGACGCAGCAGGTGGATGGTTTGAAGCAGCAGGTTGAGGGTCTGCGGCAGCAGGTGGAGAACATGACGCAGCAGCTGCAGGCGGCGGAGGCGCAGGCAGTGCGGGGGCGTAACGACCAGCTGCAAAAGGAGCTGCTGGAGCTGCGCAACAAGCTTGATGCAAAGGTGCGCGCCACTTGGCTGGGGCGAGAATTGCCCGCGGGGTCGAGGGTGGGGAGCTACAACCGTGCATGCCGCAGCCCTGGATCGCCAAGCCCCTGTACTTCTCAGGAATAGTGCAAAAGCGAAGTAGCTAAACCATGTGTACATCAACTTCCGCCCATGTTGCAGGAGCAAGCACAGGCCGCTGGTCGGCGACGGCAGGTGCCGGAGCCTGTGCCTGTGCCGGAGTTCGTGGCCAAGCAACAGGCTCGAGAACAGCCTGAGGCGGCGGCGGCGCAGCAGCAACCGGGCTCGCTGCTGCCATCATTGCAGCAGCAGCAGCAGCAGCAGCAGCAGCAGCAGCAGCAGCAGCAGCAGCAGCAATCACCACCGGCTACAGTGGAGCGCAAGGCTTCCGCCCGGCCCAGCATCCCAGCAACCAGTGGCTCTGCCGGAAGGGGCACAGCCGTAGGCGGTCACTCCAGAGGAGGGGGACGAGGTGCTGAGACAGGGCGTGGCAGTGGGCGCGGCACGGCCGCTCGCCCACTTGACCCCACTGCCCCTGGATTCAAGCCCACGCCGCCCGCCTCTCTGGCTTTAAAGGGTGCAACGGCAGGAGCAGCGGCAGGAGCAGCAGCGCCAGGCGCTGGCAGCCATGGTGGCAGCCAGGGGGAGGAGCAGGCACGCAAGGCTCAGCACCAGCAGCCCTCTGCGCTGTCGCAGCTGCCGCCGCCACAAGCGCAGCTTCCGTCGCAAGAGCAACAAGCAGATCAGCAGCGGCAGCAGCAGCGGGAGCAACAGCCTATGGCCCAACCGCCCCCGCCTAGTGGGAAGCCTGCAGCCACCGAGGAGGAGCTGCTGAAGCTGAAGCTGCAGGCCAAGAAGCGATTCAAGCGCGGCGCTGCACCGGCAATCGCGGCCTCTGCAGCCGCAGGCGAGCAGGCCGCGCAGGCTCCCCCTGCAGCAGCAGCTGCCGCTGCGGCGGCCGCTCGTGCTGCTAGTAGTGAGGGTGCAGAGGCAGGCGGAAGGCCTCAGCCGTCGGGCGCAGCAGCACCAGCATCTGTGCACACACCCGCAGAGCCACAGTCACCCCCCAGCAAGCGCCCTCGCATTGCCATCGGGGGCCCCGCTATGGCGCCATCTTCAGGCGCTGCAACTGCCAGCAGTGAACAGCAGCAACAGGAACAGCTGCCGTCCGGCCAGCAGCTGGAGGAGAGTCAGCCTATTCTTGATGCGCCAGGGCAGCATGGCGAGCAGCAGCTGGCGCCCATGCAGCACGATGAGCTGTCGCCGCAGCGGCACCAGGAAGATGCGCAGAAGCAGCAGCAGGAGCAGCAGCAGCAGCAGCAGCAGCAGCAGCAGCAGGAGCCGGTGCAGCCTGTTGAGTGGCACGAGCAGGCACAGGAGCACCATGTTGAAGAGCAGGCACATGAAGGGGCAGGGCGACAGCAACAGGAGGCGCGACAGCAGGAGGAGCAGGCAGAGGAGGAGCAGGAAGCTCAACGCCAGCTGCTCAGCGAGGAGCCCCACAGCGAGGGCGGCGGCAAGGAGGGGTTGGACGGGGCGGAGGCTATGGAGGCTGATCAGGGGGTGGACCAGGAGGGGCTGGAGCAGCAGGGGCCGGAGCAGCAGGGGTCGGAGCAGGGAGCCACGGAACAGGCTGCGGCCACTGATCAGGTGCCAGTGGCAGAGCGTCAGGCATCCGGCGCGCACAAGGGTGAGCAGGCTGCAGAGCGCCAGATGCCGGAGGTGCCCGCGGTGGGCGTGGGCGAGCAAAATGCAGCCCACTGGCATGGCGGAGCTGGCCCGGATGAAGAGGTGCAGGGACAGAGGGATGACCCAATCGACGTGGACGAGACGGCGTTTGGCCAGCAGCAGGAGGAGCAGGCTCTGGAGCACAAACAGGAGGATGGTGCGGCAGGAGTGGATGAACTTGTGGCCGAGGAGGGTGAGGCCGTGGCGCTGGAGGACGAGGAGATGCTGGAGCAAGGCGAGCCGGGGGGTGAAGATGGTGGTGGTGATGAGGAGGAGGGCCGGCAGCAAGGCGATGACGTGGCGGAGGAGTTTGACCTGGCAGCTCTCGCAGGGGACGCTGGCGCAGTGGAAGGGGGCTTCTGGCAGGATGGCGGTGATGGCGGGCTGGGCGCTGTCGGCCTGCCTGACCTGGAGGACGAGCTGCGCGAGGGCCTGGAGGGTGCGCCACACGCGGGCGGTGCGGCACAGGAGGCAGCAGAAGATCTGGCGGCAGCCGAGGGAGCAGTTGGTGGCAGCGACGGTCGCATTGAGCAGCCGGCTGCGACAGAGGAGCTGGAGGAGCCTGGCGAGGGCGGGCAAGGTGGGCACCCAGGTCAAACCAGGCGGGCTCGTGAGTGCTGTGGTTGTGCATCAGAGTCCCAACGGCACAGATCCTTTTGTGCAGTTTTTGGCATATCAGAATGGCACATGGCTCATTCCCAACACATTGTGCTCCAACCGCACATTCCGCCTCAATTACAATTCCCCTTCCATCTTCCTCAGGTGATGATGACGGCGACACGGTGCCCACATACTCACGGCCGCCGATACACGAGCAGCAGCAAAAGCAGCAGCAGCAGCAGCAGCAGCAGGAGCAGGAGCAGCAAGCAACTCAGCAGCAGGTGCTGGAGCAGCCACCGCCAGCGGCTGAGCCCGGGCAGCTGGCTGGCGAGGCTCAGCGCCCCACGCAGAACCCCGCGCAGCAGAGGCAGGCGACCCCAGACCCGGGCGCAACGCAAGGCGACACGGAAGCCGGCACAGCGGCAGGCGGCAGACGCAGGCGCGCTCCTATTGTTTGGGGCTTAGACAAGTCGGATGATGCAGCCGGCCAATAGGATGGTGCAGGGGCCCGTTGTGCAAGTCTGTTGCAAGTGTGTTCTTTTGATGTAACTCAACGTTTTTTTTGAGGCGTACTGCGTGAGGAGGTACATCGGCGCTGCCTTGCAGTCGGTCTGCTGCGGTGTGCTAATGCTGGCTGATTTTTGGCACCCACCCAGCATACAGAGAAGTGTACCAAGCACAGACAGGGACGACAGGCAGGACACAGCATCTTACAACATAGCTGGTCGCGTCTGCGCAAAGCGACCACCACTGAAAAGGGTGCGTTGGCAACGCCGCTGCCACTTCTCCAGGTTTCCGCAGCCGTCACTCCTCCAGGTTGATATTGCCGCTCCCCAGCCGTGCGTAGAGCGCCACCTTGAGGTCAGCCAGCCGCGAGGTGACGCCGCCCAGCTCCTCGTGCAGCGCCGCCAGCAGGGTCTGCGCCTCCCCCGTCAGAGCCTCCACCTTGGACTCTGCATCGTCCTTGGGCGTGTGCAAAAATGCTGCGCCCACCAACATCCGCACCCCGCCGTCCTCGCCGTCATCGTCATCAGCCAGCATCAGCTCAGCGGACGCGTCCTCCAGATCCTCCAGCTGCTTCTGTAGTGGTGAGGGGGTGCAGCCGCAGAGCAACGCGCAGCGTGGACAGCTGCACTTGGCAGTGGCCGAATGTGCTTGCTGACATGCTTGTATCCAGCTGATTGCCTGTTGACGAATGCTACCTGCAGCTTCAACTTCAGTGTTCCTGGAAACAATTCAGCACCCACCCAGGCACCATCCAACCTCGCTGCAACGCAAACAAGTGAGCACCTTGGTGCCGTGTATCTGCGCTTCCAACTCGTGCCGCCGAATGTTCAGTTTGCTGAACGTGTTGATATTCTGCTGATCCTCCCATGTGACCTGCACCTGCTCTGTGCTCTGCGTTGACAAGGGCGCGAATGGTGCAGCGGAGTCGACACAGCGACAGCGTCGTTGCAGCGGCGATCGCGACCGACGGAGAACGAGCTGGGCAACAGGGTCGGGACACAGTTATTGGTCGTGCTACAATACACTTACCCCTTTCTTTGCCATGTTTGCCTGGAGACCAGCCTCAGATCGCGCGCGCGCTGATCAACGCTTTCGTCCTGTAGAACACACAAAGCCGTCTGAAAGGCAACAATGGTGATTTTGGTGACGGCATAGCAAGAGTGAATGTGCGGTCCACCTTTCCTCTACCCGGCCTCAGGAACCAAGGAAGTACGGCGGCGACGCCTTGCGGCTGCCAACACCACCCCCGCCCGCCGTGGCTGGACGATTACGCCGCAGTACAAGTAGTGCTGCCACGAGGCACGTGCTGCATGGTCAAGTCTGATTTTACCATTGCCAGCTCCACTACATTGCTAGTTTGTAGCGCCCACTTCTGTACGTGTGCTGACGGCCGATTGTTTGCTCCTGCAGACTGTTGGGCGGCTCAGCCTCCATTGTTTGTGGGCTGCTTGGACTTATGCACTGCTGCTGAACCCTGGGCATTTGCCGCCTTCCGCGCCAGGCGCCCCGCAGGGCATGTGCCCGCGCAGTGCAGTGCTGCTTGGCGCAAACGCCCGGTGGTCGCGGCTGAAAGTACGAGAAAAACAGCGTTCCCGTGACCGATTGCGCTGTGTTCTCCGGCCACGTCCGTGCTGGTAGCAGCACCGCCATACGTGGCAGTACTGCCGGCGCTGCCGCACCCTGACCGTGCCTGCTGGCCCCCGCCCGTGATGCGCTTCAACTGACAACTACCTGAATCTCTCAGCATCATGCTCACTGCATGTCTGCCATGTGTCCTGCATTGCAAGTGCCTCTCAGGCGCAGCTAGCCTGCCCAACGCGACCGTAACAAAATCTCTACCCGTGTGAACGTTCGGCCGCAGCTGTGTCGGATGTGCTCAACGCACGAGAAATTGTTACAACTGTGTGCCACCTGCCAATCATCCGGTGATTGCCCAAACGGCAGCATCAGCTGGGCAGCATGGTCAGCCGGCGCCCACCGCCAGCTCATCCTCCAGGGCGTCATACCTGGGGTGGCGGTGTGCGGTGGATGCAGTGTGGTTGATGGCGGCATGACATGGGCGGAGTACCTTCATTACAGCTGCAGGCCGTTCGGGTTGCACAGCAGGGTTGGCCCCGTCTAGATACGCCAGCCTAACAGTTTGCCATAAGGCGGCATACCTGAAGGTGAAATTCTCCTTTCTTCTGTAGCACCAGCCCGTCTGCAATGAAGATGGGTGGTGATCGAGGTTGGGGATTGGCAGGGAAAGCAGCGGCGACTTGCGTCGCAGGCCAGCGCTGCAGCGAGGGTGCTGTGCCATGACCTATAACCCCGCCTTATCTGTTCATAATATCCTGCGCAGTCGTCCCTCATCTTTTGCACTGCCCAGACGCCCGTTCCCTCCCCCCCCTAGACACACCTGCAGGTCGTCATGCATGATGTTGAAATCAAAGTACACGTAGGTGCCCTGCGCACAGTCAGCGTGGCATGCAGGTCAATTGCTTGGAACGCCAAAACTTGGACAATGCAGGCAATGGAGGGTAGTTATGAAAGGAAAGAAAGGTTGCAGCGCCGCACCCTAGATGGAGCCAAAATTGACGCAGCTTGCTGGCGGCATGAGACGGCGACACGAATGCCGCCCCGTGCCCTGGCAGTGGTTCAACATCCTGTTCCGATCAGTGCTGTTGGCCGCCAGCTGCAGCCAGTGGCTACTCCCCTCCCGCTGGCCCCAATCCTCTGCTCTCCTCCACTACCAAAGCAGGCATACACTTGCGCGCATCTTCCGGCATCCCCGCCCCTCACCTGCTCGTACTCGTCGTTTGTGACGCTGGGCTCCGCGTAGCGCTGGAACCAGGCGTTGTGGTGCTTGTGGTAGCGCCAGCTCTGGCGCTTGAGCTCCTGCGCCGCCAGGTACTGCTGGTAGGTGTCCGGCTGGTAGTAGAACGCGAAGAACAGGGCCTCAGGGTCCATGCGCCGGAACAGGCCCGGGGCCGACATGATGTCGGGCGGCGCGCGCGGGAACGTGGGCGGCGTTGCCACGGGGTGCCGCGGCCGGCTGCGCGCCCAGTCGCTGTCCACGGGCTGAGGTTGAGCCGCGCGGAACGCCGAGTCCAGCACACCCAGGGACGCGCCCAGGCCCCCTCCGCCGCCGCCACCCAGGCTGCTGCTGCTAACGCCCACGGGCACAGCGGGCAGCTGCCCAAAGCCCAGGTCCTGCGACGCCAGCCGGCTCAGCACCTCGAACGCGGCCGCCCCCGACGCGCTGCTGTCCATGCTCAGCCCGGCCATGCTGTCTGCCAAGGCGTCCGCCGCAGCCACCACAGCTGCCGCAGCCGGGACCGACGCCAACCCTGCAACCGTCGCGGCTGCCGCGCCTGACGACCCCTCGCCACCACCCTCAACCGGCGCGCCGCTCGCCTGGGAAGGCACGGAGGCGCCTGGCAGGGACGCCGCCGCCGGCACTGCTGCTGCTGTGCCGCCCGTCGGCGACGCGCCTGCCGGGATGGCCTCTTCATTGCCCTCAGGCAGCGCCTGGCCCGGCGTCCCCGCATCGAGCTGCTGAGCACCCTTCAGCTGCGAGACAGCACCGCCACCTGGGCTTGGCCCCAGCCCCCCGGTTGCGCCCGCTGCCGCCGGAACTGGCATGCCTGGTGGCGGCGCTTTGGTGGATGCAGAGGCCGCTGGCTTGGCCGCCTCTGCTGCTGATGGTGGCGCGCCTGCCATCCACGCACCCAGTCGCCCACCAGGTGGGGCGCCCCCCTGAGCCGTGGCAGGCGTCGGCCCCGCGCCGCTCTGGGATGCCGCCGCTGCCGCCAGCTCCGCCGCAGCTGCCGCAGATGGCGACAGAGGTCCACCAGGCCTGAGCGCACCAGGCAGGACCGCCGCTGCTGCCGCTGCTGCAAGGGGCGACAGCACCGCCCCAGATCCCAGCTGTTCTGGCCCCGGCCCGGGCCCTGGCGTCGACGACGGCGAGAGCACTGTGATCGGCGGTGCCGCTAGTGTCGGCTGCATCCGCTGCTGAGGTGACGGCGGCACTAGGCCAGCGCCGCCCTCCTGCTGCTGCTGCTGCTGCTGCTGCTGCTGCTGCTGCTGCTGCTGCTGCTGCTGCTGCTGCTGCTGCTGCTGCTGTGCCTGCGCCTGTGCCAGCGCCAGCTGGCTGCCGCTGTCTGACAAGGAGCGTGCTGCGGCAGGCAGCTGCAGCGCAGTGGGCGCGCGGCCCCCAGGGCTGGCTGTGATGCCAGGCGACTGTATGGGTGCAGAGCCCGTGGGTGTAGGGGGCGCCACGCTGGGTGGCCGCGCGCCGGCCCGCCCCCGCGAATCGTCGTCATCCATAGACTTGCTGCTTTGGCGAAGCGCAGGGCGGATGGGGGCGGGTGCGGAAGGAGGTTTGGCGGCAGGGGTAAGGTTGTCCGGTGTCCCCGGCCAGCATGGCGCCGGCGGGGGATGCGCTGCCTGCCACACACAACTCCCAAGATGAAACCCCTTGTAGCACACCTGATGGCGCCCTGCGCGATGAGCTGCGCCTTGACAGCTGCCGCGCGCTCCCTCTCCCGGTCCCGGTCCTTGGACTCTTCGTCGCCGCCCTTGCCGCCGCCGCTGCGCACGCCCTCACGCCCCTCCTTGCCGCCGCCCATGCTGCCGCCCTTGCTGCCGTGGCTGACCAGGGTCCCCGGGCCCGCCACCGTCTCGACGGCCTCCAGGGTCTCGGCTATGTCGGCGTACAGGTCGTCCACCGTGTCCGCGTGGTCAGAGTCCTCCGCGTTCTGGGGAGGGCGGCGGGCAAAGAGGGGGGGGCGGGAGAGCCGGTGCCAGCTGGGGGGACCGCACGAGGCGTGTGCGTGGCATTCGCTGCTGCGCTACACAAGAACGCTGATACGCTGCCTTGTGGTTGATACTACCTTGCCTTGGTGGCACCGCCAAGGCAGCTACCACCCATGCTCGCCCCGTCCTCCCTCCAGGGCGCCGCACCAGGTAGTACTCCAGGCTGTCACGAATCGGGTCCAGGTCCTCCGCCTCCAGGGCATCGTTGTCCAGGCACCGCAGAGCAGCCTCCAGCTTGATAATGTGCTTCTTGTGCACAGCGATCACAGACTGGAGGAACTCGATGCGGGGGGGCGGCTTTGATTTCTTCTTGCCGCCCGTTGCCGCCAGCTCCTCAATCTCGTACTCGTACTTCTCAATCTGAGGGGGGCGTGTGGCGGCATGTTGCCATGGGCGCCGTTGGGGTCTCACCGCTAAGAAGCACTCAAGGTGGGGTGGGACACTGCAGGCGGAGCTTCAAATGTCCAGTTGTTGCCCCAACAGAGCGTTGTAGAGCCACGGGTGACGACACGTTGGTCGCGATGCTTTGGGTGCCAACTTGGTTTGAACCATGCAGGCCGCGGCTCCCTGCTGCTGCTCCTCTGCCTTGTGAGACGTGGACGTGACTCAAAGACACGTCGCACTCCAGAATTAGATGCTTGCCACCGCATCGACACACTCCCTACAAAGAAGCTGGCCTCGCGCGATGTCCACAGCACACCCACACCCACACACCCCCCCACACACACACACACACACGCACGCACGCACGCACGCTAAGGGGCGCGTGCGCGCACACACACATACAAACATGGGCGCACACGCATGCCCTCGCAAGAGCACACGCAAACACACACTCACACCTGCTCGTTGAGCGTATCCACAGCTGAATTTATCCACTCCCGCGTCTCCATCTTGGCCTGCTCCCGAGGGTCGAGCTTGTCGGCCTGCCCCAGCGCTGCCTTGCTGAAGGCCTTCATCTTGGCCTCCTTTTCGCACAGCTTGAACCGCTCCATCTCGCGCTCAATTGCTTTGCGCGCCTCCACAAGCTGCGTCTTGTCCTTCACATCCGCGCTAGAGATCCTGGATAGTTCAACGTAGGTTACGTTGGAGGGGGGGGGCGGTGTTGCCGTCAGAGAAGCTGCTGCGGAATGGCCCATTGAAGCCGCCAGCGCACGGTAGTAAAAAGGACAAAAAATCGCTCCAACGGCTCACCATGTCTTAATCTGGTCCCTGAGACGCTGCAGCTTTTTGATCTCCTTCTTGAGATCGGCCTCAAACTTCTCCTTCTGATTCGAGTTGTCGGTGTCGTGGACCTGCAGGTATGGGCAGTTGCACGGTGCCACAGCAGGCAGAGGAGAGTGCCAGTTGCTGGAGCATGAGCAGACCCCGCATAGCCGCCTAGTCCATCACATCCGTGCAATGCCCTTTGTTAACAGGCACGTAAGCAACGCATGGGGTGGAGTGCATGCAGCGCACACAAGCAGCGGCGGGTGAACGCATGCATCAACAGCCCACTGCCGATCCGGCAAGGGAGAAATACCCAACGGTACATCGTGGATACTACCACAGTCAACAGGGCACAGTAAGCACGCCAGGGATGTGAACACATCATGTCCGAGTGGGACCTCATCAGACCGCCCGAGCAGGGTCTGAACGCGCTCACGTGGACGCCTCTTACCTTTTCCCAGATCCCGTCAAACTCGTCGATGCCCTCTTGTACCCGCTTCAGGCATCTGTCGATCTCTTGCTGCAGCTTTCGCTGAGCTGCCATCCTGACAGGCCCACCGGAGGGGCCTCCCCACAGCACGTAATATGAGCTGTGTGCTATCGCAGCACTTGGGTGCCTCGTGCAGGCAACCGAACCAAACAACACCCCGTCAGATCACTACATGCAACATCGAGAATCGTGTCAGTCACCGTCGACTTTCGTTCAACAGAGTGGCGACAGAGTGCAAGACTGTAGGACGACCGAGCCAGCGGGCACACAACGGGTTGTTCAGGTGTGAGTGCCGAGAGTCTCAACGAAGCAGCGAAACGCGGGTTCTTCATGTGAAGCGCGGAAGCAGTGGCCAAAAAAACTTAGGGTATGTAATATCACAATTGTTCCGGTGGAACGGGTGCGGGCAGGAATACCCCCACCCCTTCGAGCGTACTGCTGCTTGCCTATGCCACATCTGCTCATCTGCCATGTGCGGGGCCTACGATGGTGACCACTCCAGGCGCCTCACGGTAATACACGTATCGTCATTGCATGCATGCTACGATGTATTTCTCTACATACAATCTGGGCCAGGCGCTAGGGTCTGTAAATTGCGCCAGGGCGGCACTCCACCCCACGTCACCCAGTCGCTGCACTGGGGCCCAGCAGTAACAGGATCCAACGGAACTCTTCCCAGGGAGCTTGCATGCGGAAGACGAATGGGCACTGCACTTTCAACACTATCGATGTACAATCAGAACAGGGACACCAGTGGTGAGGCACCTGTTAGACTGCTGTGCTTCGTGGATGATGAGATACTGTAGCAAGGCGTCACGCCTTGCTACAGTATAGCACGGTGCTTGTGCTGTCGATCACACTTTTGATGCTGCACCAATCCGCTTGCCGCAAGGCAGGCATGCTTGAACTGAAAGGGAAGTCTCACTAGCCGATCATGCCTTGTAGACATGTATGAGGCGCTGCCAGGAAAATACAGAGGTGTTGGAGAGGTGTGGGGAATCCCGCACGGCAGGGCAGGGGCGATTCTGACATCAGCATGATCTAGGCCGCCGGCAACTGGCCCGCCCTTTCCATACATTTTTTTCGAGTCATGTGCCCCATCTACGCATACACCACCATCCATGACCTTGCTTTTACAACAACCTGGTGGTCTTTAGGCTATCGATGGCCCAGGTATCTGTTCGCGTTGAGCACACACTGTCTCCCGCGCGGCCGCGTGCATGCGCACAGGCAGAGTAGCATGGGCGACAAATATACGTGGTGAACAAGAGTGTGCAGATTGTGTACTGGTATAAAAAAAACACTGCCTGCCCCTGGCCAACCATCAGTCAGCCCCCGCAAACTGGGCAGCCTCACACATACAGAACGCCCGTCAACATTGAATTGCTTTCGTTCATCCCTTGTTGGCTACTCTCGCAAATTTGTTTGCATGCGCAATAAGGTTGAGTACTCTCTTAGGTGCATGCTCATAGCCCTGAAGGTCCGGTGTCGCACTGAACCCGTTTAGCGGTTTCAGCGAGAGCCGTTGCCTCTGAGGCACCCCGGGAAGTGCATCAGCAGCATGCTTTTAAGACTCGGCAGACTCTGCAGGCTGCACAGTCTGCCGAGTCGGGCCAGCTCAAAGAAGAAAGCAGTGCACAAGACGCAGCTCCCAATTGGACCAGACGCAGGGGAACGAATGTTCATCCACCCAAAAGCAATGGCGGCAACAATGTCTGCTCCCTTGAAATCCGAAAAAACAGCAAGATCTCCTACCTTCTCCATGTCATCAGCTGCCCCTTGTGCTGACATGTTTCAGCTGCCTGGCATGCGTGGTGTGGCAGCGCAGCAGGCAACTTCTGAGGGGGCTATCAGGGGTGCAGGCGGCCGGGCCGCAGGCAATCCTGGCCTGTACGGTTCATGGAGTCAGGATTCGTGGCTATGCGTACCTGCGGTGCGTCGTCAAATCCTGCGTGGAAAGCCGCCAGCTACCGTGGCAGCTGCGTGCCCAACGCAATGCCAAGATCGAGCTGAGCTCAGCATGCCCGGTTGCCCGCCTTTCTCTGTGGTGTTGCAGGTACACCACCGGCGCATGCAGGGGCGCATGTGGTGAGAGCATTGACAAGGACCTACATCTTGTGTCAGTGGCAGCACAAGTACGGCCTTCAAGACAGGGACAAGGATACTGTACTGACATGGCCCCGATGCCAGCACCCCATGCCGGAGGCACAGGGGCCCTGTGGCAGGTCATGCTCAGAGCACACTACACACTTTTCTGACCAGACATGCAACCAGAATGATTATAATTGCCACACACAATGACATTTGAATTGTCGGCGGGCGCAGGCAATCACGGCCGATTGCGGACAACACGAGTGGCATGGTGCGTTGACCTGCCCGGCGGAAGTATGAAGACCTATGCAGGCAGACTGGGCCAGCAAGTGTAGCCCGGTGGCCAATACACCCAGTGCCGCTTATGAGTGCACATCTCTGCAGCTTAGCACAATTCATTTGCAGTACGCTTAGTAGAAAGAACGATCTGGACGAGCTGCGCATACGCCCATTGACGTCTGCGGTCGAAGAATATACAGTAAAAATGATGAGGCTGCTGCGTGCCGCACCCAGCCTGGGGGCCAGGGCTGGTGGCCGACGCTTGATGGCGACAACGGCAGGCAGCGGGGGCAGCCCGGCACCCCCAAACATCAAGGAGCTCGCCAAAATGGCTCAGCTTGCTGTTAGTGACGCAGAGGTGCGCTTCGCGCTGTTCCATGCGCGCCGTGCGCACTGCAGCGACCCACCCTCTGCTGTGGGTGCCGCTGCTTCTGCCAGCGATGCAGCATGTTTGATGAACGGCACCATCATAGGCGATGCATGGCAAATGCAGGTGGCTGACTGGGAGCCCAAGATCAACAGCATCGTCGACTGGTGAGAGTGCAGAGGCGTGGCTGGCCTTGTGCAAAGCTTTATGGGGAATGCGATAGGAGTGCACTTGTATCATCAGCAACACCAATCACATACATCCCGCGCATTGTTGGATTGCATGCCAGGTTCGGTCAGCTGCAGGCAGTAGATGTTGAGGGGGTCAAGCCCGCCGTTCATGCCCGCGAGGATGGCAGCGTACTGCGGGCGGACGAGCCCGCCACCTACCCGGACAGGTGTGCTGCTGCAGCTTTTTGCGGTATTGAGACATGAACATCATGTTGCTCCGTCTCAAGTGCTGCTGCCGCTGCTGCTGCCGCTGCCGTTGCCGCTGCTGCCGCTGCTGTTGCTGCTGCTGCTGCTGCTGCTGCTGCTGCTGCTGCTGCTGCTGCTGCTGCCGCTGCTGCTGCTGCTGCTGCTGCTGCTGCTGCTGCTGCTGTTGCTGCCGCCGTCGCCGTCGCCGCTGCCGCCTCAGATGCTGCTGCAGCCAATGCCATGACCATTGCGGTTTTTGGTTGTAGTACTGTTCGGTGAAGGCGCAGTCTTGTTGAGACTGCCACCCGCTCGCACCCATGCTCAGGGCGGACATTATGGCGCAGGTGCCGGCGATGCAGGGCGCCTTCGTCCGCGTTCCAAAGATTGCCACTGGCCAGAACACTGTGGACGAGGCGGACGGCGGCGCTGTTGCAGCCTCTGCCTCTGGTGGTGCAGCCGCATCTTCATCGGCGTCCCCCGAGGAGCTGATTGCCCTGAGTGCGCTCGACATCCGCGTGGGCCGCATTCTCAGCTGTGAGCGTCACCCTGATGCTGATAGTCTGTACGTGGAGCAGGTGGAGTGTGGTGATCCTGATGGCCCGCGCACCATCGTGTCTGGGCTGGTCAAGTACGTGCCGCTGGAAGACATGCAGGGGCGGCTTGTGGTGGTGCTGGCCAACCTCAAGGCACGCAACATGCGCGGTATCAAATCACACGGCATGCTGCTGGCGGCCTCCAACGAGGAGCACACACTGGTGGGTACATGGCGCTGGAGGCTTTGGAAAAGGCGCACGGATGAAGAGATCGGCCAGGGGGCAGGCTGCTTTGCCGGGTGTTAAGGGCGACGCCGTGGTGGCGCGCCTCTGCAGTGGAGCTCTCATCGCCTGTGTATCATTTGGTACAACGGGGATGCATGGGGGACACACAACATGGGCTGGCAGGGTTGCTTGCAGGGCAGAATTTTGACTGTCATCAATCGGTACTATTGACACCACTGTCTACAATCATCGTCGCACCAGGTGGAGCCGCTATCGCCGCCGGCGGATGCCACTCCAGGGCAGCGCGTGTGGTTTGGCAACAGCCAGGAGCAGCCCAACCCTGCAGAGCCCAACCAGCTACAAAAGAAGAAGCACTGGGAGACGGCGCAGCCTGGCTTCAACACGAACAACGACCGCGTGGTGACGTTCAGAGGGCAGCCCATGGCGACCAGCGCTGGGCCTGTGACAGCTGCAACGCTGACGGGTGCGCGCATTGGGTAAGCGAAGCCATAATCCCTTCAATTTGATACATTTTTGCAACTGTACGTCACAAGATGTCCAGCAATGTAGGGTGCAATAAAACACGCGCACATATGCAGCAGATGCATACTTGTGTCGTGTTTCGTGGCAGCGGTGGACTCCGAACGTGACGCTGGCACGGGTTGTGCAAGGGGCTGCACAAACATCGCAGATGTCAAGACAACTCTGGTAAATTAATTGTGATTGGTGTGTTTTCTCATTCTCTCGAGCAAACTCAGCCATTGCCCCTGGCCGCTCCCCGATCGCTGCTCGTGCTGGTGCAGCAGGTTGAAATTGCGTTTGACTGGCTGCAGGCCTGTCGGCAGAGGCTGCCAACATCAACCTGCCCGTGTTGTGGGCCGACTCGACAAAACAGTACATGCCTTTGCAGAACGAGTGCATGCATTATCAGGTTCTACAGATGGCACCACTTGTTCCGCCTTTGTGAACGAGCCTCGCTGCGGTCGGCCCTGTGATTTGATCCAACCTGTCGCCGCGAGGACGACCAAAGAGCGCCTATGAAGCGCCATCTTGCAGAGCTAAGGAGCGAGAACGTGCAGCAGCAGCAGCAGCAGCAGCAGACTACCCCTGTGTTTGGCAAGCGCTCACGGCACTTTCTCTCGTCCAGCACTCCCATCGCAGGGTTGGCCGAATGCCACGATGATCATCAGGTGCGAGCTTGCAGACTTTGGCAACCGGGCTGTGCGGCAGCGACGCCGGCGAGCACCTCTCTAAATTGGGCATGCGGCGTACAGCACGCGACCGCGGCCGACGCAACACCGCATCACCGAACCGCACAGGCTGACACGCCCGATTCGGGGAGGCCCGCGCCTATGGTGCCGGGCACAACGGAGCGGCTGTTGGCAGGCTTCACCCTCAGCACCCCAGTCGCTGGTTTGAGGCTGCAGGTGCGTGTCGCGTGTTGGGCAGAGCAGCATCCTGAGCACCTGGAGCAGAGCAGCAGTGTGACGGCAGGAGCAGCACCAGCAGCTGCATACACTGCAATTCTGTGGTGCTGACTTTGCAGTGGTGTGTGTTGTCATTGCGGCTGCCTGCAATCTTCGCCTTCGCAGACAGCACGAGCGTCAGGCAGTGGCCAGCCCAGCGACGACCAGGAGAACGGACTGCCATGGCAGCAGCCGCCGCAGGCTCCAAGCACGTCTCAGCAGCCCAAGCCGCACCAGCAGCGTTCTCACCAGCAGCACCAATTTCATGAGCATCAGCCTCGTCAACAGCAGCAGCAGCAGCAGCAGCAGCAGCAGCAGCAGCCGCTCAGCTTCCTGCCCAGGGGGAGCGGGCAGCTGGGAGCGGCGAACCGCAGCCAGGAGCACCCGTCATGGTTTGGCAGCGCAGCCGGCAGCCAGCTACAGCAGCAGCAGCAGCAGCAGCAGCAGCAGCAGCAGCAGCAGCAGCAGCAGCAGCAGCAGCAGCAGCAGCAGCACAGTCATCAGCGCCACCAGGAGCCTCCGCAGCAGGCAGCGCCTTTGGACCTCCTTTGCAGCGGCTCGCAGCAGTCATTATCCCTGGGACATTTCGGACGTGGGTCGCAGCAGCAGCAGCACAGCGAGGGCCGCACCCCGGGAAGTGGCAGCGGCTGGCTCGGGGCCGCCTTCGGCTCGCAGCAGCTGGTGGAGGAGGTGGAGCAGCGGTCGCCCGCGGCGCTCGTGGATGATGGTAGTAGCGGGGTCGGGGCTGCTACTCGCGATGAGGGTGCTCAGGCTTTGGTCGCAGGGGACCGGCAAGGCAGCAGCGGGCAGGAGCGGGAGGTGTACACTCCTGTGATGCGGTGGGCCGGCCGCCGGGCGGGTGTTGATGCCGATGGGAGGCAGGCGGCCTTGCAGCAGCACTGCAACACGCACCATCAGCGCGGCGACCAGCATCCCTACCTGCAGCGCCACCGTCCTCCCCAGCACAACCAGTGGGACCAGGAACCCTCGCCGCGGGGCCGGTCACCGTTGGGCTTTTCCCGGCCGTGGCAGGCCGAGGGACTCTTTGGCGACAGTGGGTCGCGAGCTGAGGCGGTCACCACGCCATTGGGCGAGGGCGACTTTGTGCTCAAGGCCAGCAGCTCCTATACACGCACCATGGCCGTGCGCTCGCCGCTCGTTGCCAGCGCGTTGCACGCCGACGTCCCTACCGCCGCAGTAGCTGCTGTCGATGGGTTGATGCAGCGGGGGGCCGCGCTGCTGCATGGTGATGACGATTACCACACGCCGCTGCATCCTGGAAGCCAGGTGAGGCAGCCGAGGGGCAACTGCCGCTGTTCTGGAGCTGCGTGCGCACCAGGCTTGTTGCGTTGTCGTCCCTGGACCCTGGTGAACTGGGCGGTCCCCCAGTGAGCTTGGTCCCTACCCCTACCCCCTCAGGACCCGCCGTGCAGCGATGCCGCAACTCGCCTGAGTAGCATGCTGCCGCCTGCCCAGTGCTCGGATGCCGCTGCGCTGACGCTTACGGCAGAGGAGACCACCACCCCTGAACTCGAGTGCCTGGGGGCAGCAAGCCAGGACCCGCCGCAGAGCGGCGCTGGCGGCACGCGCAGTGGCGAGCAGGAGGCGACAACTGCGCAGGCGCTCTTCCCCATCTTTCGGCCTCGCAATCAGCGCAAGTGCATCCTGCTGGTCCGGCACGGGGAGTCAAGTGCGTCAAGGGTGCAAGGGAAGCAGCCTATGATTCGCAGGGGCAGCGCACTTTCCTTCCGGTCCCACAGGAGCAATTCGCTTCAAGCATGGCCAGACGTGGACTCAGTTGCCATCAAATTGTCTTCGTCGCACTACCCCACCTGAACGCCCTCCTCTGTTCTCAACCCACCGCACACCCCCCGCCCAACCGTCACCTGCCTCAGCCTACAATAAGCTGGACAGCGAGTCCAAGGCCTGGTCAGACCCACCGGTGTTTGACGCCCCCCTCACACAGCGAGGCCACAGCCAGGCCCTGGCGCTGCGAGACCCGCTGCACAAGATGGTGCAGAAACGCTTGGTGGGTGCCAGGGCGAGAGTACGAGCTTTCATTTTGATGGAGACAGCCCAGTTCCACTGCAGGGGTGCCTGCTGCAAGGCACAATCACCACCATAGACCGCATGCCTTTCCACATGTCGCCATGCTCAACTATTTCTTGCCTCTGCCACCGCGCTGTGCCCGTCTGCAGCACGAGACCGGCGCATCAGACCCGCTGTGGTTGGTGAGCCCCCTCACACGTGCCATAGAGACGTTCATCGGCTCGTGTCCCCTCGTGGCCGATCGTCTCAAGGCCAGCGGGGCCAGCGGCGGTGCAGATGCGGGCGGCTGTGCTGGAGGCGGTGGCGGCTGTGGCAGCGGTGGGGCAGGTGGTGCTGCACCCAACGTGGTCATCCTGGGCATGATTGCGGAGCACTGCGCGACGTGCGGGGACGTCGGGCGGCCGTCGAGCGACCTGGCGCGGGCGTTCCCAATCATGACTCACCAGCTGAGGGAGCTGGAGGAGGTCTGGTGGTACAACCCAGATCCGTTGGGGCGGCCCAATTGCCACAGGTGATGATTGCAACACACTTTGGGGTCGGCAAGGGGCCTGAGAGTGGTGGCATTGCAGGGTTGAGCTGGCTTTTGCTTCACGCTTCCGACTTCTCTTCGCCGCTCTCTGAGGTTTTGCTGAGCATTGTACGTAGCTGATCACGCACCATTTGCTGGAAAACATGCCCCTACGGCACCTCGTCCACCAGGCGCAAGCGCCTGGGGCGGCCGGAGCCCAAGGACCACATGAGGCAGCGCATCTCAGAGTTCAGCCGCTGGCTGCACGCGCGGCCGGAGCGCGTGATTGTGGCCTTTGGTCACAGCCAGTTCTGGAAGGCCTTCTCCAACAGCAAGACCTCCCTGCGCAACTGTGAGTTCACGTGCATCTGGTGGTGACCCAGCTGTTGGCAGCTGCACGTGCTAGTGTGTTGGCAGTGTTGAGTGGCCATGCCTGGGCTGCCCTTGGAGCGCGTTTGAAGGTGCTGAAGGGGGCAAGCACTAGGCAGCAGTGTGGAGGGAACTACTGCCATCTGGTTTTTTTTGGGCGGGCGACGCCTACGTACGCATGTAGAAACAAAGAGGCATTCATGCGATCCCCTCTGGTTTTATGCTGGCCCCCTGGCACATTGCCACCACTGCGGGTCACCATGCTGAACTGAGGCGACGCCGGAGGCCACTCCCGTTGGTTGTAACATTAATCCAACAAATTGGTTTCAGTCTGTGGATGAGTATGCGTGTGGCCAGGGGGCAGGCCAGTCGGGCATGCCATTGTAGGTGTGTTGCATTGACATCTTGTGTTGATGCAGCCGGAAAAACAAAAGTTCCCCCATCTGGAAGGGTGCACTTGTGCAAATCATCTGCAAGAAGGTGGCAGGTTGACTCGATCACGATGCTTTGTCAGGAGGAGTGCCGAGAGGTGGGTGGGAGGGATGCAGGTGCCTGCTTTGCAAAAGCCGGCCGCATGTAGATGTGACCTACCGAGGTGTAGCACATCATACCTTATTCGCGTGCTGCATCGGTCTGTATGGCTGACGTATGCCGTATCATAGATTGATGTTACAAGGATCTGGCGCGTTGAGCATCGCAGCGCACAACTCCTGATCTCGTCATTTTTGTGCTGCTGGGGTGACGATCTCATCGATATTGACGTCACAAGGGGTTTGCACAACTAGACCAGTCCCCAGATCGCTGGGTCCCTATCGATCGCCTTTGCTTGCCGAAAGGTATACGCTGATCGCGCGGTGAACGATGGGCTTCAAACCACCGGAGTGGGCGAGCCAGCCCTGCAGGGAGGCGACGCTTGAGGTCCACCGTGGCGGCGGCGCCGTCGATACAATCCCAATCGACGCCCAGCCGTGAGCGGTGCTCTGAGCGAAGACCACTGCCTGGTGTTTGAGGTTGTATGCGCATGCGCAGCTACTCAATCTACAGAGGACTGGCCATGTGACGTGCGCATAATGTCCTGCTGCTGCACTGATCGTGCTGTTCTGCAACATGCTCACAACCCCGCCGCGTCCTTTTGCTCGCTGTGCAGGTGGTACCTCCTGGGCAGGCGCGCCCCGATGCAGGCGCACCGCTTGCATTGTGGGCGCAGCGCTTGCATTGAACCTGCCGTTGGCAGCTGTGCATGATTTGCACACTCTGCTTTGCAGCAGCGGTACGCCTCATGTTGCCCTCTGAGCGGCCATCTTTCTCGTTCACCCCCTCCTTCGGTCAACTAAGGGATGCGTCTGCGTGTGACATAGCTTTGGAGGGTTCTCATGCGTCGCGACAGCATGCAGCCCTGGTGCACCACAATGATGGCCGCCTGTTCCTGATTGACCTTGCATCGGTGAGTATCTGGGGGACGTGGGATGGACAAGCATGGCTATGGGTCTGCCGCGCTCACACTCACCGCACGGCGGTTGGACGGTCATCGCACCTTGGCCCTTGGAATTGCGTGTACGCTACGCTCAGGACTCAGGGGCAGGGCTGGATATTGGCCTTGCATCTCCATCACACCGCCGACCCCACAACAACCACAGACGCACGGCACGTTCATGGACGGGTCGCGTGTTGCCCCCAACAAGCCTGTGGTCATGAAAGATGGCGCAGTCATTGTCTTTGGCGGTGAGGAGGGCGCGACCACATACGTCGTGCGCTGTGAATCGGCGGCGGAGAAACGGCGGGGCGACAGCGGTGGTGAGCAGCAGCTGGAGCGCAAGCGGTCTGCACCTGGCGGGGCCCTGGCAACTGTGCGCGCCTCGCATCTCCTGGTGAAGCACCGCAACGTGCGGCGGCCCTCCTCCTGGAAGGTGGGTGCATGCTTGGAAGTCTTGGGGGGTGGGTTGCGGTGGGTGAGACACAAGGCAGTCGCGGCGAAGTGCAGCGCGTCAATGCAGCTGCGCAGCAAGCTTAGGGCATCACCTGGCATTAGGAGACAGCCGTCTCCAAGGCACAGCCTTGTTTCCTCCTTTGGAAGAAGATCCAGCGCGTTTGTGCCTGCTGCTGTGTGAGCCTTGACGCGACTGCCCCACCGCCCGCAGGAGCCCACCGTGACACGCACCCCCGAGGAGGCCCTGCGCATGATTGAGGTACTGTATGCTTGAAGTCGCGCCTGCTGAGCATCGGCTGACCGCGCGCTATTCAGCAGTGGCTGGAAACAAAGCTGCACCCTGCTCATTCACCCGGCGTCAACACCTTCCCAGGGCACGCGCACTTCCCTTGCTGAGAACCGTGCCCCTTAACCCTCTGCGCCAGCGGCCCCCCCTCCACCCCGCCCGCCCACCCATGCACCAGGCCTTCCGCGTGCAGCTAGTGTCGGGAGACCCCTCTCCTGAGGAGCTTGCTGGCAGATTTGCTGACCTGGCCAGCTCTGAGAGCCACTGCAGCAGCGCCAAGCGAGGGGGTGATCTGGGGCACTTCGGGTGAGTCCATGGTACAGAGGGTGTCAAAGCGTCACTAGACACTGAGCAGGCATCCCGAGGCCCGCCCTGTTCTTGTGTCAGTCCATGCTTCACTTTGTGATGTGATCAAGCAGCGGAGATGCCAACAACAAGCAGGCGATATGGCTCCGCTATCTGCTCGGCCCAAAACTTGCACGCCCACTTGCAACCCCCGCCTTGTTGATAAAGCCGCCAACGCTTGCCCGCCTCAACGCAGGCGGGGCCAGATGCAGGCTGCGTTCGAGGGCCCTGCATTTTCATTGGCAGTGGGGGAGCTGAGCGGGCCGGTGTCCTCGGACTCGGGAGTACACCTCATCCTGCGGACGGCCTGAGTGTTGCCGCGTGAACTGGGCGCGTTGCCCTGGTCGTGGTGCTCTATCTGCGCCCCTGACTGCAAGCTCTTCCTGTGGCGCCCACAACAGCCAGTGCACCATGGTGATACTTGCAACTGCAATTAGTGAGGTGTGCTGTTGCATGTGGACTCCCGCCCCCCCCCCCCCATAAAAACCCACCTTTGTGACATGGCTGCGTACATAGCGGGGGAGTGCGGGCGGCGTTGCAGCTTTTCACCAGGCAGGGACGTGGATTAAAAAGTGCCAGAACATTACGATTTAGTAATTTTGCCTTCTGCTGGTTTGCCAGTTTGCTGCTTCCACTTGTCACTTCCTTCCTGACTGTGCGGTGGCGACTGGCCCTCGTTTCTCGTTCCAGTTGATGCAGACAGGCACTCCTTTCACTTTCCCACAGCATTCGCACCCGCCCAGCAACTTCCCGTGCGGACAGTCCCAGCAGCGTGATGCACTGCCGCACCAAAGAAAACAGCCCCTGGCAGCGGCTGGACCTTGCCATGCAGGGCTGGTAGGCAAATACATGAAGCAGGCCTGTTTGCACTTTGACAGACTTGACTGAGTGACGTCTTGCATCACACGTTATATGCTCCGCGAGCAGAAGACCGGATGCGTTGCCAAGCTGTACTGTACTTGCAACCAAGGAGGTTGTGTCATTCACCCGCAGATAACGCGGAAACGCTCGACCGCTGCTCGCCAGAAAGTGCACGCTGCGTGCAAACAGGTCAACACGACCATGCTGGGTGGTGAAAGGCTGAACGAAGCTGACAGGATGCGTTCAGCAAGCCAATGCGGAAAGGCACGGAGCAATGCAGCTGTTCCCTCAACGACCAGCTGCACCGCCATGCACCGCATTCCTAGTGAAAGCAGGCAGGCGGCAGCGCAGAGGGCCAGCGATTGACACAAGGCCTGTCTCTGGCCAAAAGCAAGCAAGCACCAACGCGGCTACGTGCACTTGCATGAGCTGTGTGTGCAAAATCCCGTAGTGACCAGGGGCAGCGGCGGCGCAAGCAAGCCGTCAAAGCCATGCAAAACTGTGCTACAAGGCATCTCACGAGGGCGCAGGCCCGAGGGGCAAATGACCTGCGTGCTCACGACAAGCGCATGCCATGGTCTAAACTGACTCAAGCAAGGCCGCATCCGGCCAGGTAGCAAAGCCATCGCGACACGTTGCGCTGACATTGCAGTAGGTTGGTACGTTGCCTGGGGCTTGCTCTTGGTGCAAGCCCCAGGGGCTGCGTGTATGCATAGTTGTGTGAACTTGATGTGTTGTGCCGAGCTCGGTCTCTTGCTGCCGCGTCCAGCTCAGCATCCAGCACATACTGCCGCGCCGTCTTCAGTGCGCAGCAAGACTCCGGGCGTATCAAAGGCAACGGCGGCGGAGAATAAAGTTTGAGCTATGCCTAAGCAGAATCCGTTTAGAGGGCATCGGTGGCATGTGAGCTGCAGTGCCTCAAAGAGGCTCGCCTGTGTGACGCAGCACCCTCTGTACAGCAGGAGCCCCGCAGGTGAAGACAGCAGGGTTTTGGGCTCGCGTGAGGCCCCTGACACACGCTGTATGGCGCAATGGGTGCACACAACGCCTTGGTTTATGAAAGGGTGGAGCGTGCCTAGGCAAATGGAACAGATGCCGGAGGGGTAGGTCCTGTGAGGGTTGTTGGGCAGGCTCTCATGGGGCAATGCGCCCCCCAAACAACGATCAGGGCAGCAGCGGTCGCCTATGCAGGGGACCGAGCCGTCTCCAGGGCGGCTGGCGCGGCTTGCCGATGGCGCACAACCGACGTGGCCGCGGGCTGTAGGCTC